AGCCCAGGAGCAGGCTTGGGGGCAAGGAATCTGGGAGCGAGGAAGGGGGCAGGAATGGGCTGAGTGTGCAGGGTCTCAGTAAGGGGGATATGTGAGGAGGTTGGGAGTGCAGTGCCAGGCAAAGGTGGCCTGAGCCACTCAGGTCAGAGCTGCCGGGTGCCTCCTCACCTGCCTTACAGAAGTGCCTACTGCAGTCCTGCACATGGCTAGGTGGAAGGGAGCCAATCTGGACTTGGGAGAGGGACTGAGCTTGGGTCTTCCCGGGGTGGCTCAGTGCTGGGCACAGGACGTGGCCACTTGGGGTGTGGCTGAGGAAGGGGTGGTGGACAGCTGGGGACATGGGGGCCTCGCCCTGCACCTGGCACTTCCTCTGAGCCTGCTGACCCAGCGGCCTGTGAACAACAGTGACATTGTCCTGAAGCAAGTCATAGCACCCAGGGTAGCGAGAGCCTGCCTCTGTTCCCAGCATGAGTGGGCCTCGGACCAGCCAAAGCAGCCCGTGGGCCAGGGACCAGGCCGCCTGAAAGGCCACGACCAGAGCTGAATGGGCAGGACCCTTGGGAGATGGAATCTGCCCAGGCTGGGCTGCCAGGCAGCTTTGCCTTCCCCAAACAGAGTCTGGGCAGGGAGCCCATGAATGCAGAATGACATGTTGAGGTCACTGTCATCCCACAGGAATTTTTGTTTAAATATATAGAGATCATTAAATTGTTGCTATGGTTCCTACCAAGAACTTGGATCTGAGCAGGATTGAGCTTAACTAGTTCAGTCTTATATATGTGTGTGTCTTAAGTCTTGCGCTAGAAATGGCAAGGACTTTGAAACCATATTTTTATTTCAAAACTCAAGTATGTGATACTATACAGTACAATACTAGCACACTTGTGCAAAGTCTTACAATGTTACAAATTTAAATAATATGATACACAAACATAGTGCCCCTTTTCAATTCTTTCTACTAAAAACATCAGTGCTGTGCATGAGAAACAATAAATGTGTCTTGCTGAAGCAGAAAAATAAATATTGCACCCCCAAAAAAACTCTTTCAGTGTTAATAGTATAAATAACTGACCTACTGTTTGTAGCCTGACATGCCTTCTGACCACAGAGAAAAGAAATTTTAATTTTAGATAAAGTAAATTAAAATCAGACTGACAAAATTTGATTTTAGAATTTTTTGAGCACAACCCTAATTTTCACAAAACACAGAGTTTAATTAGATGTATTTAAAAAGCAGTTAGCCTCTGTGATGCTATTTTAAGTAGGCAGCTTAATTACAGTAGGTATAAAAATAATTCTACAATTATTTTTTTCTTTATTTTGTTTTAGTATTTTAATACCCTTTAAAATATCTTGCCCTTTCCCATCATTTCCCCCAGCCACTGCCCACCAATAACTGAAGACCCTGGAGGCTAAATTCTGCATATCTGTTCCATGTGAGAAATTCTACTCAAACCAATGGAACTCATGGGTGAAATTCACCACGAAGCAGTGAATTCCCAAAAGGCTAATACACTAACTAAGCCCATATGGGGTATCCGAACCTTTTGCAAGCAGTAGCAAATTTCACTCTGTGCTCTAGATCCACCAAAGCACTTACACACATATCTAACTTTAAACATGTGAGTGATCTTATTGAGGTCATTGGGATTCCTCATGTGCTCAAAATTAGGCCCATGTGTAAGTATTTTGTTGGATCAGGGCCTATGTGAGTAATAGCTGAGGGTACGTCTACACTACAGCGCTATTTCGAACTAACGCATCTAGAACTAAAAACTAGTTCGAATTAGCGTTTTGCTAATTCGAACTAGCAAGTCCACTTTGAGTGGACCCTGAACAGGGCTTAAGGATGGCCGGAAGCAGTGCCGGCAGGGCATCAGAGGAGGACTTAGAGCATGGAGATGCTGTCTCAGGCTAGCCGAGGGCTGCGCTTAAAGGGTC